GGGGGGGGGGGGGATACATTCTTTTTTTGTGTCCATTTTTCAAAAATCACACATCCTCATACAATTTCTGAGTAACAAACTCTAATAATGTTTGGGTTTTATTTGTTTGATTATTTATTTTTTATTCCTGGTAGAGAAAAATCTGCATGCTGCATTCAACACATGGTTAATTTCCCCTTGCTGTTATTATATCGACAGTTTTAACATCATACTTTTTCTTCATTTATTGTGTTTCTTGGTGGAATAGCTAAAAAAAATATTTGTTTACTGAAATACATTTGGTGGTAAAACAATTTTCACTCAGAAAATGCTAGTAAATTTTACAAATAATTGCAAATAACATATTGAATTAAACATGACATTTTGAAGCAGAAAGCCTGTAGTATTTTCTTGTAAAACACACTACGATAATCTCCATACAACTTGGAGGTTTTTTTTTTTTTTTAAAGTGTACATATACACAATCAATCAAAAAATTATGATATCTCATTATGGCTCACATAGGAGTGTTCATCCAGTAGCTCTTCTCTAACCTCAGACCACAGATATTGATAAAAGCAAACTTAAATAGATTCATCTTTTTGATGGATTGCTGTTGGATTGTCCCATGTCAGGCCCACATACAGTAGCTCTACTGCTGAGCCTGTCCATGATTTGACTATTGAACAAGCCCACAAACCTTTGCATTCAGTCAGTTAACAATGAATTAAATTTATTTTTATTTGATTATTTCGCTCCAGTCCTAATGTGTTTTACACTGTGCTGGTCTTTAAAAAATAAATAAATAAATACATAAACAGAGAAGAACAAGGTTACAATAATGAACCCATGACTTGCGATGCTAGTGCCATGCCCTACTTTTTGAGCTAAAGGAATGCACACCCATCCAAAGCCTTTCCAAAATCTCCACAAATAAATTTTCAGTTCACTGTTAATAATGTGTAAAGTGATGACCTACAATGATATTGCAATCAATAAATAAAACCCATAAGGTATTTTGTCCAAAACTGGCAGGTTTTCACTGTCACTCATAACACTGCTTTGAGATTTACATTTAAGTATTTGGTAGACGCTTTTATCCATAGCAACAATGCATATACAGTTTGTCAGTTCATGCATTGCTTAGGAATAGAACCCATGACATTGGCGTTGATAGTGCCATGCTTTACTGTTAGATCTACAGGAGATATCCTGATTATTCCACATGCA